TTTAGGAAAGGCCGGATCCAGGTATTTGCCGGTGAAGATCCTTTGCAACCAGTGGATAGCTCACCTCTTCGCAAATGTCATCTTCCTCTTCGGCTATGTAGCGAGGAATTGCGTATCCTGTGAGCGCCGCAGGTTACTGTTGAGGTAGTCTGAAAAACATAAAAAACATAATAATTTATGTTCATAGTTTAGTGCCTTCTGCTCGCTTTTCTACTTAATGTCATAATTTTAAGAAAAGGATGTCATGAATTTAATATCCATGTAATTATTTAATGTTAAGTTAAAAGTCGAGCAGTTCACAAGTCGGTTAGTGGTTATAGCGGCAATCTCCTAGCAAATAATTTAATTACACTAATAACGCAAGATATGTAGGTAAGTAGATAACAATTCAATAAATAAACGAGAAAATGATCTATTTCACCTAGTTTTTGAAAATAATATTTAATATAGCTCTTGTCCGTATGTTTACTTCACTAATCATTTCGTTTTTTTTTTATGAATAGAGAATTTTTTGAATTGCCAATAATAGATCTGCAAATCGATTTGTCTCTTCGGTCTACTACAGCCACAGTAATTTCGCGGTTTTTATGAGACCGGTATTTCCAAACTTTTCTTAGAACTGTTCAAGTCAATTAAATGGCATCACATCAAAGTTCCCTTTAGAACCACTCATGTGGAAGTAATTATTAAATAAAACACAAATGCGATTTAGTATACCCATGTTCTATTGCTCGAAAAATATAAAAACTTTATTTAAACATACAATTTTAACTGTATACACATACATGGTTACTTCATATATTCCTATATGCTTTTGTGCTTACGTTGGTTCAAGATGCATATACAAATGCGTACTCAGCTTTCGCATTCAAAGTACAATACAATACATTTGTATTATAAATGTATGACATATCAAAATACACAAGAATAGAGAAATTGTTAAAAAACATTTATTAAAATTCATACAACTTTTGTGAATACATAACAGCGTATGCTATGTCCTATACGCAGGACATTTCAAAAAGAAAGGCTATCTTTTATACCGCGGAACGATTTCAAGCATGTCAAATAGAAATGGTATTGGAATATGGCATATAATACGTGAAAAAATATGGACGGCAAATGTATTGATATTAATGGTTCCAACGTTATCGATTTACGAGCCCATTATTTTGACATCGATATGATTTGTGCCCGACACGCTAATATTCTATTCCGTTGCGTAACGAATGATACATGCGAAAAAATCACCGACGGAGGATTTATAATAAGGAGTTGCTATCCAGCTACAAATTCCAACACGTGAATATCGGAATGATCACTTTATCCAAATGAGGCTCCTATAATTGTAAGGAGTAACTTAAGTAACTTAAAACAAGTAAAAACTCTTCGGTAATATCATTAGCTATTTCCATATATAACACATTTAACTTGTCGCCTTTTACACGTCCTTTTATTTGATAACCATGTCGCTGGTATTATTACGAATAAATGAATCCATCAGGTCAGGTGGTGTTCACTATATTTATTTTACAATTAAAGCATTTTGAACGCATGTTTTCATGTAAGGAATGTACAGAATAATTTTCAACATTTGTTCTTGTTTATCTTATGAGTAATAAGCAGAAAATATTGTTCTTATTTTTGAAAAGATGAGTGATGTCAGATTATGGTGTAGTGCGGCTGTGTTCTTTGACCGTTAATTTCCATTTCTTTTCCACACAACCTGCGCGCAAGAACAACATTTGATATATTTGCGCATCTATTACACATTCTCCATTCTATGTCACACATACATGCATTCATACTTAGCTTTATCTACAAAAAAAAAAAAACGCAGAGTCTAAAAAAGCAATGGCAAATAACATTTCATATAAACTAATACAGCGTCAACCATAAAAGTGTTTAGCAGTGTTTTTTAATTATGTTTAATAAGGTTTTGATGTTGACGGCTAGTTTACACCACCATGTTCACTTACACATTCCGGATCGAAAGTGTATAAAATGTCATTAAACAGTCTTAAACAGTCTTAAACAGTCGTAAACAGTTGTAAACACTTTGTTAAAATAGCGAAATTCCCGATCGAAACTATATAAAATGTCATTAAACAGTCTTAAACAGTCCTAA